CCCTGGGCGACCTGGTTATGATCGGAGCAGAATCATTAGGCGACCTGGGTGCAGAAGATCATCACAACTATCTTTCCATCTTTGACCTCGGTTTTTTAAATAAAGAAGAGGCTCCTTTTACCGGGGGCAAGCTCATCAATTCATTTAAAAATAGTCCGTTCCCGCTCTTAGCTACAACGGTCGACAGCATTACGGTGCATACCGTTAGCGGCCAGCAGACAACTATCGACCGGCGATATGCAGGACTAACCCAGGCTGCCGAAAGTATGGAAGGTGCAGCCCTGCACTATGTATGCCTGATGATGAAAGTACCCTTCCTGCAAGTGCGTGCGATCTCTAATTATGTAACCCCGCGCGATCGTAGCAGCTGGCAGATCGGCAAGGCGGTCAAAGCACTCAATGAGCAACTGATTGCCTGGCTGGATAAGGGCCATTTATAGCTTTATACTACTTTTCGTAAAGCCCGGATCATTCATCCTGGTTACCTTTACGCCTTATTCCGCCTACCATGAAACTGACGCTTGGCTTTTCCCCCTGCCCCAATGATACCTTTATTTTCGACGCGATGGTCAATGGTAAAATTGACACGCGGGGGCTCACGTTTGACTATGTGATGGAAGATGTGGAAACCCTGAACCGCTGGGCCGACCAGGGCAAACTGGACATTACCAAGCTCAGCTATAATTCATTCCTGCACAATGTGCAGCAGTATGCATTGTTACACAGTGGCAGCGCGCTTGGCAAAGGCGTTGGCCCCCTGGTGATCCGGAAGCCGGGTGCTGAGGCCATTGATATGAGCACCGCCAGGATTGCGATACCGGGTGTTGCCACCACCGCCAATTTGTTGTTTACACTGGCATTTCCGGAAGCTAAAAACAAAGAGGAAGTATTGTTCAGCGAGATAGAACAGGCCGTATTGGATAACCGGTACGATGCCGGGCTGGTCATTCATGAAAGCCGTTTCACCTATGCCAAACGCGGTTTGGAAAAGATCATGGACATGGGCGACTGGTGGGAAGGAG